GGCCTGTGCTAACTCTGGGTAGTTTTAGAACTCCACTGCAGTACTGTAGCATCTCGTTAGTTGCTTAGTGTAGAACAGACACTCATTAAATTAGTTAATTAGGTATTTTTTCTAAATACTCAGGTGCCAAAAAATATTAAACTATATTTTTATTTGAAACATACCATATCCTTTCTGGGCTTCATCAATGATTGGAAAACGTCCTCTGCCAAGAAATTCATCGCCCTGATTGATGAGGGCTTCCTTCACCACATTGTATCCATGTAAGACCACAGTACGCCAGGGTCCAAGGTACAGGGTATAAACAGGCCCATGCTCTTTGGCCAGCTGGAAAGAGATGTAAGCACTTGTGTAAGTGGTATTGTGAAATCTCTCTGTTGGAGGTCTGGGTAGAAATTAAGTTATAATTTTACATGTGGCTTAACCTTTGCTCTGTCAGGTTCGTTTTAGTAATTCAACCTGTGGCAGTCACAGATCCATTATTTTACCTTTATGTTTACGTGCAATCATTCAGCAAATATTTCTTAATCATCTATACTAATTTCAGATGCAGTGTGTAGCCTAGAAACCATTCATAAAACTTAGTCTAATGAAAGTAATAAGAAAGAAGCAGCCAAAGAAACTACATTTGCAATCTAGATGGAGCAGAATTCCATGGAAGTGATAAAGGGTGCACTAAGGGAGTAACTTAATAAAATAGCTAAGAAAAGGCACCTTGGAAGAGGTAACATTTAAGTTAAAACTAAAGATAAAGAGGAAGCAGCCAGCATAAGGGCTCAGGGGAGAGCTCACTACGCAGGTACAAGTCGTATTTTTATGGATGCAGTATTCAAAGAAGAAAAATGGACTAAAATAGCCAACAATTAGATGCTAGCTTTCAAATCTATTTTACTTTCATGTGATTGTATTAAAAGTAGACATTTGAAATTGGTTATAGGGACATGTTCAAGTTTTAAATAAATTATGTTTTAAAATACGCTTAAAATTCATTTCTGGGGCCGGGGAGATAGCTCAGTTGAATAAGCGCTTGCCTGGTAAGCACAAGGGCCTGAGTTCAATCCCTGGCTCTGCAATAAATAAATAAATAAATAAATAAATAAATAAATAAATAAATAATTCATTTCTATATCCCCAAACAGAAATAAGTAGAAGAGAATTTTCATAGGCATATAGCTCAGCTTTATTTATTTATTTATTTGTCTTTTAGGGAAGGGTCTACAGGGTGCTCAGGGTCTCACTACTAGATCGGACTTGTAGTGATCCACCTGTTTACAGCCTCCCAAGAGCTGGGATTACAGGCGTGCACCACTACACCCAGTCTCAATCGCTATCTCAGCGCACCCTGGGGGTGGGGCCAGCATGGCAGGCCCGGGGATGGAACCCCAGCCCCTGAGCCTGCTTGCAGGCATTTAATCCACTGACCTATTTGGCCAGCCTTATTTATTTATTTATTTATTTATTTATGTCCTCGGACTCATAGTGATCCTCCTGTTTTCAGCTTCCCCAGGCCTGGGATTATAGGGTGTACCACCACATCCAGACTTGGTGGCCAGCTCCAGTCCCTGTGCTTGCCTAAGCAGGCGCTTATTCTGCTGAGCTATCTCTCTGGCTCTAGCATCTACTCATTTACCTACATCTGTGCCCAGGTACATAGTCTTCTGTTAACATGACTCTTGATTCTCCTTTTGAAAAAGGGTAGGCACAATTGCTCAACTTTGGCACTAGTTTCTATTCCTTCCAAGCTATGGTGACACGGCATTCCTCTTAATAGCAAAACTCTGAAAAACTTGTCTTCATCTGCTATCTGTAATTTTTCTCCTCCATTCTTTTTTGAAACCACACCATTAGTCTAGCTTTTGAGGCTACTCTGCTGAGGTTTTTATGCAAATCTCTGAAATTCCTCTCCACTTTGCTACATCTCATTTTATTTTACCAATCATTAGCATTTGACTCTATTAAAATACTCTTTGGATTGTACGCTTCTTTTGGATTCCAGGACATTTCCACCCTCTTGAGACTCCTCCTACTGCTTACCCCCAGTTCTCTTGGGGACTTCTTTATCACATCAACCACCAATAAGTAGGAGGATGGCCCTGGACTTATGACCCAGTCTGCCCATTCTCCGCATGACCACACCCAGTCTAATGGCTTTAAGTCCATCTTAACCCCCAAATTTATACATGTAGTTTGGGCCCATCCTCTATTGTAGCCTCATGTATCCAATTGCCTAGTCACATGTGCATGCAGGAGATTTCAAAATAATGTATTAAAATTGAGATCTTCATATCCTCTTTGCCTATCTCTCCTACATCAAACAGACAGAAAACCTGTCTCCTCTGATAGTCTCTCCTATCTTACTTTAGTAGCACATGCTCAGCCAAAGACTTAGGGACCATTGTTGATTTTTTATCTTATACCCCATATCCAACCCATCAATAAATCCTTTTAAATCTACCATCTAATAGAGTATATCTAGAATCTAACCACTTTTACCTGCCTTAGTTATTATACTGGTCCATGTCATTCTTATCTCTCCTGGATTATTGTACAGGTGGGCTGCTTCTGTCGTATCACATTTATAATCTGCCTTTCACTAAGTCTCAAATCATACAGTGAAAACATGAATCCTATCATGTCACTCCAACTGAAAATTTTTCAATGATTTTCCATTTCTTTTAGAATATACAAACTACAGCTCTTACAGTATCTTTTACACTTTAACATTATACCCTACTTTTTCCCCTTTGCAGAACTCTTGTTTTATCTGCACTGATCTGTTCTCTTTCTTATTTCTTTAAAAAAATAATTTTATTGAGAAAGAAATAGTAATGAGACAGTTTCAAAACAGGTTAGTAGGACAGTTGATCTGTTCTTTACAAGGCCCTCTGCCGCAGCATTTTGAACCTTTATCCCTTGGCATGTTGTCCCTTTTTTTGATAGTGACCTTATGGCCTACCCTGTTTTCTTGAAATCTACTCTTAAATATTACCTTTTCAATGATTTTTTTCTTTGGATTCTCTGTTTAAAATGTAAATCTCTTGACTTCTATCTGTGGCTTGGCATATAAGGAGCTTGGACATTTTTATTTTCTATTTCTTTCTTTTTGAGACAGAGTCTTGCTATGTAGTACAGGCTGGTCCTGAACTCACTGTGTAGCCCAGGCTAGCCTTGAAGGCACATGGTGATCTTCGTGCCTCTCAGTTCTTCTAGTGTGGGGATTATAGGCATGCACCACCACGCCAGATTTGGGCATTGTTATTCTTACTAACATTTTTTTTTAAGAAACAAACTGAAAAATCAACAATTTTCTTAAAACTATTAAAGAAGGAAAACTCTAAGGCAAATTTCTGCTCTCTCCCCAAATAGAAAGAGAGAAATACAGAGAATCGTAACTAGTGAAAGCAGAAACCTCCATAGGGAAATCAGGAGAGGCCAGGAATGAATTGTAATGGCCAGATTGCTAGATGTTCAGTGTGGATAAATCCAAGAGTTAAAAACTCCTAGAAGGAGGGCTTGGTGTTGTTGGGGAGCTTTGCCAGATTCGCACAGTGAATACTGGAGAAAAATCTCCTTGTTTTTCTGGCAGGAGGAGGGAAAAGTTAATCAGTTTGAAATACAGCAAAGCATTCTGGTCTTCTTAACAATGTCTTCCCTCAGGATAAAGTATTTGACCACACCTAACCTACTGATGTTTTATGAGAGGCCAACCAACTAGGGGAAGGAAAATACAGTAAGATCTTTTTTTGTGAGCAAGATTCATTCTAGAAATTTGCTTTTAATCCAAATTACTTGTATATCAAAGCAAATTTCCCCATAAGGAATATTGGAAACTCAGATGCTTTGTTCTACAACCCAAAAATATTCCTGTGACAATGATTACAATATTGTAATATAATGCAAAATAAAGAAAATACAAAATTTAAAGAAAATAAACAAATTAACCTGCATTTATCTTTGAAAGCTTTCAAGACTGGTGTGAGGGAGATGAGAGAGGAGAGTTATTGTGTAGGATGACTTTTACTATCACTAAGGGAATCACTGCTGACTACTGACTCATGAAATCTTTTTCTTTCCATGCAAATATAATAATGGAACCTATCTGGTTTTGCCTCCTTTTGAGGATTTTGCTGATATGTGACATAGCATACAATCCTGCAGCAAGAGAATCAATGGCTCCTGTAAAGCTGATCTCTGAGAATAATCACAGCCCGTTCTTACATGCTGGAGTCCTCTGCCTAAGCCCAAGAACAATGGCCACTCTGCTCAGATGCAGCACAGACCTGCACGGTCACAGAATCCATTGCTGTGGCGACGTAATCAGCCATTGCCCTCCCTTCATATCAACTCCCCTCCTTTGCGTCACCCCACTGAAACCAATCTGACTAACCCCCTACCCTATCCATAAAACATACAGCTCAGTAAACTCCACTTAAGACTCTCCTTTGGAGTTACTCTATAAAGTCTCACCCAGAACCCCCAATTTAGGCTGCTGTGTTCTTTACTGGGTTGTCATTGATTGTCTATATATATAGAAAGCCAGAAAAAAAAATCATTAACAACAAAAACTCCTGAAATTAATAAGTAATTATGGCAAGATCAGAAGATATAAAGTTAATATGCAAGAGTCAATCACTTCCTGTACTAGCAATGAACAGTGGGTTTGAAATTAAAACAATTCACTGGTGCCGCCAAGATGATATACAGGAATAAAAGGAACAAAATATCTACAGTCTTAGACAAGGAAAACTCTGATGAAAGAAATCAGAGAAATATTCCGTGTTCATAAGTAGAAAGACATGATATTTTCAAGGGTCAGTTCTATTCAAGTTACTCTATAAATCTGAAATAATCCAAATGAGAATATTAGCTATTTTATAAATATTGAGAAACTGATTTTTAAAAGCTTACATGGACAAACAAAAGATTCAGAATAGTGAATATGATACTGAAGGGCCAGTACTACCTCACTTCAACTTCGCAGGAAGGTATAAAGAGTTTGAGGCCTCTTGGCCCACGGGAGTAGGGGACTTTTCTCCATCAGTCGTGACCAATATCAGCCTTGGAGAATCGCTGTGAGGACTGCCACAGATGAACAGTCTTGTCTTCCGAACTCAGACATTTGTAGGATATTAGCAAGACAGTACAGAGATCAATACAACAGGCCCCCAAACAGACCCACATAAATATACTTAATCTTTGGCAATGGAAAAAGAGTTTTTTTCAATAAAGGATGGTAGAACAACTGGACACTCACATGTCCCAACCCCTAAAATCTATACACTAACTTCATATAATCTTCATAAATATTAACTCAAAATGAATCATAGACTTACTTGGAAAATACAAATTTTACATTTAAAACATTTACACTTGATAAATATCTATTGAGTCCATTCTTTGGGAAAAATATATTTTAGAATCTGGGAATATTGCAATGAACAAGAATGGGAAAAAAGTGCTGTCCTTTCAGAGAGCAGGGTAGTCAGATAAAAACATATCAGTCATATATACTATGGTATACTTTAGTATTATAAATGACATGGGAAAAATAATGGAAGGAAATGCAAAAGAAGTATATTTTCTAAAAAGATTTTACTTTTTTCACTGTTTTTTCTCTTTTATTGGATACAGGGTCTCACTACGCAGCTCAGACTCACAGTGATTCTCCTGTCTCAGCCTCTCCAGGGCTGGGATTCCAGGCACATGCCACCATGCCTGGTTTTGGGGCTGGCACGGTGTACAGTACCAGGATCAGACTCAAGTCCGTGTGCTTGCCACACAGGTGTTTAGACAGCTGAGCTATCTCCCCAGCCCTGATTTTACTTTTCAGGTCATTTATTTTCACAGCAAAATTCAGCGGAAAATTGCCAAATAACCTTTACTCCCACTCATGAATAGGACATCTCACCTGAACAAAGTATTTGTTACAATTAACTTTATATTTACAAACTTGTAGAAAATAGTGGGAGAAATCTAGGTGTCTCGGTATATGGCATAATTTTTTAGAAATATCAAAGGCTAAAGCCATGAAAAAACCCCTAAATTTCTCTAAAATTAAAACTTTCTAAGTCAGGTGTGGTGGTGTACCCCTATAACTTCAGTACTGGGGAGGCTAAAGCAGGATGATCATCACAAATTTGCGGCCATCCTGGGCCGTGTAGTGAGTTCAAGCTTGATCTATACAAAGAGACTTTACCTGAAAACACGAAACAAAAATTCTGCTATATAAAAGACTCTCTCAAGCTGGGCATAGTGGCACATGGCTGCAATCCCAGTACTCAGGAGGCTGAGACAGGAGGATCGCTACAAGCTCACAGCCAACCTTGGCTGCATAGTGAGTTCAAGGCCAGCCTGAACTACTTAGACTGTCTCAAAAACCAAAATGAACCAACCAAACAAACATGGTCACAAGAATGAAAGGACAAGCCGTGAGCTGGGAGAAAATATTTGCAAAAAACATATCTGACAAAGGACTATCATTTAAAATACATTAAAAATTCTTAAAACTCAATGAGAAAATGAACAACCTGATTAAAAAGTAAGCCAAAGAAAGTCCTAAAGAGATACTTTGCCAAAATAAATCCATAGATGGCAAATAAACTTGAAAATGTTCTGTACTTCACATATTATCAAGGAATTAATGATACTGAAAACAACCAAATAAAACTTTCTACCAGAATGGTGATACTGGTAAAGACGCAGAGCAACATAAATCTTCACTTTTGGTAGGAATGCAAACAACGGTAAGTCACTTTTGAAGGCAGTTCACCAGTTTCTTACAAAACTAAGCTATGCTAACCGTACAACCCAGCATCTATGTTTGTTATCCCAAAAGAGATGATAACTTGTGTCCACACAAAGAACCCGATGTGAATGTGTATATCAGCTTTATTAACAGCTGCCAAACCTGGGACGTAACTAAGATGTCCTTCAGTGGGTAAAAGTGGTGAATCACGAAATTCAGACAGTGGAACAGTATTCAGTGACAAAACCAAATTATCTGCCAAGTCATAAAAGACACAGAGGAAATCTAAGTGCTCATTAATCAGAAGAAGTCAACTTGAAAAAGTTACTGATCACATGACATCCCAGAGAAAGGTAGAACTAAGGTGACAGAAAGATCAGTGTTTGCCAGAGTTTGGAGTAAAGGGAGTGATGAGTGCGCAGAGTACAGAGGATTTTAAGAGTCGTGAAATGATTCTGGTATCTGAATGATGCATACATGTCATTACACACTTGTCCAATCCAGAGGAGGTACACTACCAAGAAAGTACTCTAATGCAAACTACAGAATCTAGGTGACAATGACGTATCAGTGTAGGTCCATCAATGGTAACAAACACTTCACTCTGGTGGCATGTCCTACGCATGCATAGGGTTAAGGGTTAGATAACAAGTCTCTGTATGTTCTGCTTAATATTGTTGTGAAAATAAATGCTCTAAAAAGTAGTCTTTTTTAGAAAATGTTCTTCTTTTGCCTTTCATTATTTCCCCCATAGCATTTATAATACTAATGTATGACACAGTATATATGTGTATATTACTGATTTGTTTTGGTTTTTATCTGACTATCCTGCTCTTTGAAGGACTGGGCTCTTTTCCTCTTTTATTCATTGCAGTATTTCTAGACTCTAAAATATAGTTTTGGGTCTGGAGAGATGGCTCAGTAGAATAAGCGCTTCCCTGGCAAGCACAAGGGCCTAAGTTCAATCCCTGATTCCATACAAGAAATAAATAAATAAAATAAATAATATATATTTCTTTCCTAAAGAATGCACTTATTAAATATTTATCACATAAATTATTTAATGCTAAACCTTATAATCAAAGAAATTTCCTGTACTGTTTCTTCACCCTAGAGGATGTTTTTGTACACTAAATTCCTGAAAACGGTATTTTTTTTCCTCGAACAGTGCATCCAAAAGTGCAAATTTGGACAGGGTAGCAGAAGTGAGCTTCATTAACTGGAGCAGCATGCTGAGGAGGAGAGGGGGGATCTCTCTTTACAAGCAACATCACAAAACCTCTCATAATTTAGTGAGGAATAATAACAATGACACATGGAAGATTTATCACATTTGTACACGTGCTGAACTTTTAGTGTTACAAGCTGGAAATTTGGGAAGTCTTTTAATTAAAATACATTCTGATGTCAAAATTTTCTCATTTGGCAGAATTCAACTAATATCTGAAGCCCAGTCTACTCCTCCCACTACCTGCTTTAAAGCTATCTAGTCTTGAAAGGAAGAGGATTATATATACTTTTGGCAATACAAAAATAAACACCCCAAAGTGCTTATGTGGTGAACACAACTTGAGACAGCCAGCCCGGTAGTCCAGGTTGCGGAAGAACAGCCTCAGAAACAGAGCCCCTTACCTTGGAAAGAGATGTGGGAACATCCTTGAGGTTCAGCTGCAGCATGTTTCCAATGACAGGAAGTGGAGTTGGGCCAGGGGGCAGCCTTGCCGCTTTGTGCCTCTTTGTCCACACTAAAAGGAAAATCAGGCAAGAGACAGAAATGACGAGAGTAAGAGTAGTGACTCCTGGGAGCTCCATTTGTGCACGCTGCAGGTTAGCAACTATTGCAGCTGCTAGCAGTCAAGCCAAGCGCAAGCACAAGTGTGCTCTGCTGGTTAAAGGTTGGTCGGAATTTTGGACTTAGAATAAACCTGGCACAGGTTCATTCATATTGCTGCAGACTGACATCAAGAAGTGCTCTTCTTACGCAGAAAATCTGCAACTTTATCTGACTGATTTTTTAAGAATCTGTAGGGCATGTATTTCTCAGTCCAGGTGATTCATTACATAAACAGCTGCACTTTATTTTTCACAGATTTTTAGAACTTCAAATAGTTCAACTCACAAATTTAAAACAAATAGATCATAGGTTCTGAGGTTTGATTTGGAAGAGCAGTTGTTAGCGTGGTTCTTCTCTGGCATGCTTTTCCTTTTTTTAAATTGAGTTACATTTTATTTTGCACAGTGTAAGAATAAAGCTATCCATTGTCTCTCAATTTTATTTCCATGCAATTATCTTTTGCATCCCTTCACGTTCAGTCTGTGTTAGCCTTTAAGTTGGACTTGCTCAAAGCAGCCTACAGCCAGATCTTATTTTTAAAATATCATTGTTAATTCTAGGACTTTTGGCTGATGAATTTTTCTAATTTACTTTAAAGACATTTGATGAGTAAAACATCATTTTGTTGTTTGCTTTCTAGATGGTCTACAAATCTTTTGTTGTTTTCTTCGTCATAGTTGTCCTTTTTTTTTTTTTTTTTTTTTGTAGTTGTCCTTTATGGCTTGGTGATCTTTTTTTTTTTTCTTTTCTGACATTATTTTCATTATGTTTCTTATCACATCCATCACAGATGAATGAACAAGCAAAATGTAATATATACATACAAAAAATGTAAGGGCCAGGGAGATAGCTCAGTGGGCACAGGGCCTGTCTGGCAATTATAAAGTCCTGAGTTTGGTTCCTAATATAAAAAGAAAGTTATTCTCTTTTTAAAATCAGAAATGAAATTTTAATATTTGCACCAATATGATGAAATGTACAGACACATGTTCCTTGTAATAAGCTCCCAACAAAGAACAAATGTTGTGTGATTCACCTTTATGAGTTATTTCAAATGGGCAGGTTAATATACAAAAAGTAAAAGAGATTACTAATAGTTGAGGGAGGAGAGTGTGAAGAGTTACAGTTTAACAGGTACTGAATTTTTGTTTGAGATGTTAGAACAATTCTGGAAATGAATAATGATGATAGTTATATAAATTGTGAGCAGGAAAGGAAAACTAGAATGAGGAAAAGGAGAAAAGAAGGGAAAAAGATATTTATGTAGCTATACAGGATGGCTTGGATGATTTTGGATGATTGTACTGCTGATTTCTGCTGGTCTATTGAAAAGAGCAGTCAGTGCTTATTTTTTTTTTCTTTTTTCCAATTTCAAAGGTTTATATCTGGTAACCTAAACAACTAATTTGATGATAATATTATGTAATACAACAACCATTGTGGAATTCCTATTATTTTGATTAGTGAAATTCTGTATCGTTTCTAATTTTTTTTCTTTTTCTTTTACCATTTTGTATTCTCATTTAAATAAAAATTGTGAAT